TGATGATTCGGAGATAAGACCACAGGGGCCCAATGAGAGAATGTATAATCACTCTCCAACACACACACACACACACACACACACACACACACACACACACACACACACACACACACACAGGCACTCATAGTTTCCATCTTGAACAATATTATTATAGCAATTTCCAAATGATGGCCATTTATTTCATTTATAGGACCCAATTTGCCTTTTTCAATTAGTTCGCATAATTTTATCTGGATTTTGCATTCTGTCTATTCCTAGAGCACCAATTGGCTTCAATGGGCAAATAATTGCGTACCTTCTACTTTATTGGTATAACAATGTTATCTTCTCTTTTCCAAATAAATTTTATGACACTCCAACTCTAGAATTAACTTGAGGCATTCTTTCTTTGGCACAATAATACAGAATGGTTGGAGCCTTATAACAATGTATTGTCCTGCAGTTTGTTTTTATAGAAATGAAAAGTATACTTCCAAATTTGTCAGAGATGCTAATTTGTTACAAGATATAAATTAGAATCCGAAATGTCTGAATGATTTAAACTCTATTTGTCTCAGAAGATTCATCCCTGCCATTCCCTTCTAATAGCAGCATGTGCAGAAAAAAAAAAAAGAAAAAAAATGTCACCAGATTCCTAGAATGCAATAGGTGTGAATCTAAAAGAACAGAGGCAATAATATACTCATACACACGTCAAAGCTTCAGAAATGCAAATTCAAAGACAACCACTCTTGTGTCATCCCAAACTATTAGCGTTAGTGTTCCATCAGGAGCAAGACATTTTGGTTTTTTTTTGGTAATTAGTTTCAGGTGTACAACACAGTGCAAGACATCCTAACTATTGATTATTCCTCCTAAAAAAAAACCTGTGCTATTTTCAGGAGAAGAAAAGGATAAATGAAGGCATTTCCTTAGACCAGTATGCTCAAATGTTTGTTCTTGGGACCCCTTTGTTGTCTTAAAAATTAATGAGAATCCCAAATACTTATTATATGAGAAATTAAAAATCAGAAAAATATTAATTTATTAACTCATATAGAAATAACAAACTTATTCTATATTAACATGAATAAATGATATAAGAACATAAGTATATTTTCCAAAACTGAAAAAAAAATTGTGGAGAGACAGAAAAAAAAAGCTCTACGTGCCCAGTGCTAATATTTTATTGTAATCCATAAAACCTGACTCTCAAGACTATTGAAAGATTTGTGTCATTATTAGTTTACTATGGATTGCACAGCCTTCAAATGAATTATAAACTGCACCTGCCTCACTCACTCAACGTACAATGACAATGGGTTGTGAGATGATGTAATATCTAACCTTTCTTGCTTCTTAGTAAAATATCCTGAAATTTAATAAAAATAGGCATAACAAAAAAAGACCCCCTAATCTCTCCTCATACGCTTCTTCTGTAACGATAGTGGGGTATTACATACCAGGGGTGCCAAAAAATGTATACATATGACCTGCATTCATCTTTTGTTATCGGTATATATTGAGTATTACAATTATAATATAGTTTTTCCTTTCTTAAAATGTGTATTCTCTCCCTCTCTCTCTCTCTCTCTCTCTCTCTCTCTCTCTCTCCATATATATATATATATATATATATATATATATATAAATTGGGTGTTTTGCTTATGTCTAAGATACTGTCTATTGGCGTCCAGGGGGAATGGAAGAATTAGAAATTTTAATTCTGATATGCCCACCTCTTGACTCTTTCATATATACATTTGTATATATCAGTATGCAAATATTTGTATATTGATACTTAAGAAAGCAGCACAATTAACTATAAATGTTCTGGAACCCCATTGTCTTTGTTATTTAAAAAGTGAGTTTTAAGAATTAGTCAATTGTAATAACTATATACAGTGTCAAATGGGTAGTAGATTTGTTGGGGTTATCACTTTGTGAGGGGTGTAAATATCTAATCATTATGTTGTTTTGTACACCTGAAACTAATCATAATAAAAGAATTAATAGTCAGAACTGAATATATTGTATAAAATAAAATAAAGTATACCAAGATTAATTTTACCTGTTTTTACTTTTTAAAATGTGGTGACCAGAAATATTTTAATTAAACATGTGATTATATTAGATTTCTTTTCAACAGACTGTAGGACAGGAAAAGAGGCCCAGAAATTAACAGGGGTTGAAAATTAAAGAAAAGGAAGAAGGGTAACACATGCATTTTAACTTTTCTAAGATAGGAAATATTGAATTGGAGCTTATTAATATTTTAGGAGAGTAGTGAAAGGAGAAAATTAAAATAAAAAAAACCTTTTTAGAATAAATTCAGATTGGTGATTAGGAGCTCTCTGAAGCTTTTGCAGCTCACTGCCTAATCATAGACTATTACTACTTAAAGAGAAAAAAAAATCCTCACATCATAAATAGTGCCTCTTTATATGTAAAAGCTTGATTGGGTGTTTCGCTCATGTCTAAGAGACTGTCACTGGAGTCCTAGGGAGATGGAAAAATTGGAAGTTTTAATTCTGATATGCTCACCTTTTGATCCTTTCCTAAGTGACATCAGGAATCTCATTCTCTTCTTCTCAAAGTGCATTGATGATTTGGACATGTGGACCGTCTCACAGTCAGATAATTCTATAGGAAACAAAAATTGAATGGGTGCTGATTTTAAATAAAATATTTTAATCTTTCTATTATAGAGAATTTCAAATTTGTCCAAGGATCATCAGCCAGCCACAACAGTCACCAGTACCTATCAGGCCCACCCACATCACTATCCACTCAGCACCATCTGCAATCCCATATTATTTGAGTTCAGACCTCATACCAATTCATCTGTAAACACTACAGTATATGTTGTGTTGCTGGAAAAGTCATGATGCATTTTTGCAACAAAAAACATAGAAAAAATACATCATGACTTTTCCGACAACCCAATATTTCTGAAAAATAAGGACTTTTTTAGGACTATTTTTTAAACATAGCCACAATATTATCATACCTAAAAAAGAAATTAATAATTCCTCAGTAGCATCAAATATGCAAGCAGTGTAAAAAAATTAACTACACTTTCACGTTGATAAACTCAAGGTAGATTAGCATTCGCCTCTAAAACTGACAGCCTTGTAAGGTGCTCTAAATAATTACCGTTTCATATTTCAGCATATGATCTCCTGTCATCCCCTCGTGTGCGTGTTTCTGAGGAAATAAAAATCGCATTATGCCTTTATGATTACAATCTTCCGGCAAGGTCTGAAATACTTTATAACACAATTTATCTCTTAGAAACACACTGAATTACATTATCATTATTAGCCACTAGATGCCACAGTTGCTTCACACAAGTGAAATAAACTCAGCCTTGATCTGTCAAGGAAAGAAAAAAAGTTTTAACTATCACAGTAAAATACTGAATCAAATGTCAGGACTAGCCTAAACTTGCTTACACCTTGTGATGGAAGCGTGTGCTGAACCACATATTTAAATATTTACCTATGACTTCCATAACTGATCAAGCCAGGACATCCCTCCTTTTAAACTCATTTGTACCTTTTTCTGACATTTTCAAGTGAATGCTAATTCTTTCCAGTCAATTCAGACACTCAGTGTACTCTGAATTCCGGGGAGTCTGCTGAGTGGCTCTTCGTGTGTCAGGCTTGGTTTTGGGGTGGTTGACATTAATATCATCCAGAAGCCAGGGACACACCCCTACAAGAGCAACTTCAATATAAATCCAGATGGCCCTGTGTTCTCACAGCTTCCGCTCAGAGGAGGGGACAGAAGGTGCATATGTTATATAGTCAGATATGCACATGTTTGAAGTTGGTAACGGATTTAGAGAGGACAGGGAATCAACTTTTTCACTTTTTTCTGGAAACTTATAGTTTCAAGAAGTTTTTGTTTTGTTGTTTCTCTCAAAATCGACCAAAGTGCTTCATAGAGATTTTATCAGGTAGTTCAAAAGTATAACTGCTGAAACATTCTTATTTAGATGAGTAGAGCAATCCCATCAGAGAGTTTTAGCCAGTGGTATTAGAATTGCCTACGTTTCAGTATTGTCTCTTCCGATATAATACACAGATCTGGATATATATATATATATTTTAGGCTGAGTCATCCGGCCACCTGTTGGCAGCTCAGCGGCTTCTCAGCTCGGGCCGGGAATCGAACCGCTGTTGCTCAGAGCTCAAACTCTTGAGCGAGCTCTTAACCAACTGAGCCACTCGGCTGGCCCCAGATCTGCCTATATTTTAGTATGCATTTATTATGTTAACTTTTCTTCAATGATCGAGTTTCTGTACAAGTCTGTCCCTTTACACCCCTCTTATTCAAATATATTTTTTTCCCCTTAAATTCTTCCTAGAATGTATTACTTTATTCTCTTTGTGTTAGTAAAAAGCTTAGTCCTTGGTAGGGAATTCCCAGAAAATTACCTATCCTAAAACTTATGTATCGTGAAAATTAGAGGAGGAGAAAATTACTTCACTGACTTAGGGGAACACCAAATAAATAGCTAGAGGAATCTCAATAAATATAAAATTAAACTCATAGAGAAAACTTTCCCAATGCTTCTACTTACTGCAAAGGCGGAAGAGGTGCAGACACTGTGGGAAGAAGAATGAAAGGTATTTGTCTTTTTCTTCTATTCCAAAATGATGGGGTTGCTTCAATAATGTTTTAAATGCTTTCCCTGATTCCACTCTTGTCCCCATCTAGTTTTTTCTTTCTCTAGCAGCTAGAGTGGTCCCTATAAAACAAAAACCACACTACCACTCTACTCAGCACCTTCATTGTCACTCAGAATCAAAGCCAAAATCTTTACCAATGTCTTCAAGGCTCCAAATATGCACTGTGCAATATGGGAGACACTAGTTACACGTGTCTATGTAACATTTGAAAAGTGGCTAGTCTGAACTGAGGTGTGCTGTAAGTGGAAATTACACAATGGATTTGGAAAAGTTAGTACCAATAAAAACAATGTAAATTTTCTCAGTAATGATTTTCTATTGACTACCTGTTGGAATGATAATATTTTGCATATATTGAGTTGAATAAAATATATTATTAAATTTAATTTCACCCTTTAAAAAATGTGGCTACAAGAAAAATTTAAATTCAAAAATTCAAAAATTCTATTGGCCTAAAGAATATGCAAGTCACCAGCTCCCTCCCATTTCTAACCCACACTGGCCTCTTGCTGGTCCTCTGTATACCATGTCTATTTCAAGCCTTTGTGCTGACTATTCCCTCTTCCTGGAAAGTCATCCCTCATATATCCTCAAGGTTGGTTTCCTCACTTTCTTCTGTTCTCTGCTAAAATGATCAGAAAGAACTTCTCTGACCAATCAATTTAAGATGGCCTCCAACACAGGTATACACCCACTATCTCTCTCTCTTTTTTTCAAAACACTTATAACCCAGCATCTATATCGGGTAATCTCTCTCTCCTTAGTAGACTATAACCCCCATGAAGTCAAGGGCTTTGTCTCTTTCATTTACTGCTGTTTCTCTAGAATATTGCCTGCTTATGGTAGATATTAAATAACGATTTGTTAAATAAATGAAAGGATAAAGTATCACAAAAATAAGCAAGGTGATGACTAAGAGATTTCATTACAAAGGAAGGGGTTGGGAAATGAGAAGAACTAACATTTCATGAGTGCCTATAATGAACTAGACACTGTGCCAAGCACTTACATACAGTATGTTAGTAAATTCTCACAAAATGTATTTACAGATGAGAAATATAAAGCTCAGATAATTTAAATAACTTTCCCAAGGTCACTTAGCCAAGTATAGAACATTGTCTTAATACTTTTCATTTTATTATTTTATTTCAGTATCTCCAAGTGCCTGCCTGACTTTCGGACTAAATTAGATGGTCATATAAATACTCGCTCAGAGTATGCACTCTACATTTTACCTTCATATCATTTGCCACCACTGTAATTCATTTTGTAGTGTGGTGTTTAATATCAGTCTTCTCCACTGCACTGTAAACTTCGTGAGAGGTGGCAGTGAATGTCTTGTTGACATTTCCATGTCCAGAGCCTTCCACCTTGTCTAATGCTTAATCTCTAACACCTATTTGTTGAAAAAAAAGAACAAATGAGTTGATTTTCTCCAGAAATGCTATAACAGCTGATGAGTGGGTTATTTGTGGCCAGTGAGAATTTATGATCTTTGTAGACCAACTACATGAATGACACCCGTTAGAATGAAGCCTGGCAGGATACTGCAGGGGAGAGTGTGCTGGTGTGTAGGTGGACTATTTGTTCCTGACGATTTACCATAGGTAATGGGACCAAACGTTATGGATTTCCTCTGACAATGTGCTGTCCAACATGGCAGCCCCTAGCCACATAAGGCTATTTCAATCAAAATTAATTAAAATTAAATAAATTTGAAAATTCATTTCCTCAATCACACTAGCTACATTTCAAGTGCTTAAGAGTCATACATGGCTAGTGGCTGCCTTATTGGACAGAACAGATTGGACAGAATAGTATACTCCCTCTTCCATTAAGGGGGAGTACTATTGAACAGCACTATTCTAGAAAGTTTTACATGTCCTTGGGAAGATATATTTTTCAATTGGAACGGGCCTGTTTGCTTGATTAGTTTTGTATTCTAACTAAAATTAAACTTTGAGAAAGAGTCCAATAATCTGTATCCCCAAGTGTTTCTGGGCCAGACCTGACGTGGAAAAGGAGCTTCACTGTCCACATAAGAGCCATTTAGTCAGACGTGCTCATGCACAGCCAGTGACTGGTGTGGAAAGAACCACCCCTCCAAGGGCTCCGGGCAGGCCTACTGTTCCAGGGACGCTGCCAGCCCCTGGCTGGCTGGAGCCCTATGTCTAATGCCGTTCAATACCATCCCTTTGCGTTTGATGTGCAAAACAGAAGGCTGAAATGTGAAGAAGAGGAAAGAGTTTGGGATGCCAGCTACACCTCAGGCTATAGTTAGAGTCCCAAATTTGAGAGAGAGAGAGAGAGAACGCTGTTAAATGCCCCCTTCTTCAAAATGTCATATATCTTCAGGTACTTTCTTCATAATGTAACTTTCAATGATTTGGGCCAATATAACTTAACATTTCTTGAGATTCTGTTGCTGGAGATTTTGCCTCCCTAATCCAAGGGATAAAACATTTCCTGTCATTGCCTTAGAAAATAAATTGGCTTATACACAAGAATAAAAGTTATATTTTCTATTTTCTGATTAAGTTCACTTAAGGAGCGGGGAGAATTTTCTTAGTTTGAATATTCCGGATATTGGTCCTATAATTTGTTCATATTTCTCCAGTCTTCCACCAGGTACATGGTTCTTAGTTCTAGACAAGAGACCAGGAGGAGAGTTGAGGAGACCACCAGGCAGCCCCACTATTCCTAACTCAACAGGTGGGGGACATGGAATGTTTATGTTCTTTGGGGATTCACCATGATCTCCCCCAGCCTTTCAGGATAGGTATTTTCAGTCTCTCTGAGGTTTTCTTAGGAGAGACCCCGAGTGAGGATGGTGCCTCTGTGGAGAGGTGGGGAAAGACACAGGTAGGGACTGGGGAGTTAGTAAGGCTGGCAGCAGAGGTGCTCGGACGGGACAGATGATTTTCTGAGCAGTGAGTGGGACCGGGAGTGCAGAAAGAAGACACCGAGTAGCAACCGCGAGACAAACCCCAAAAGAACCGAAAAACGCGGCGAGGGGCGCGGGCGGACCTGGGCGGGGCTGCATGGGGAAGGGTCACGCCGGGACGTAACGGGCCGCGGGCCGGGGGGAGACCCGCGCGCTCGCCGAGGCACCGGGGCCCGAGCTCCGCCGATGAGGTCAGTGGAGCCGACGCGCCGGGAGGAGGGCAGCGGAGCCCCCGGACGCGGGCGCTGCGAGGATGGCGGAGGGGCGGGACGGGACGGGAAATGGGACCGAGAGCAAGGGCCGCGGGAGGAGGGACGAGGGGGCGTCGGCGCGGGGAGCCGGAGGCGGCCCGACAAGGATCGTTTCCTTCCGGAGGGGAGGCCGGCTCTGGACCCGGGCGCGGACGGGGGGCGTCCAAGGGCAGGGCACCGGGCGACACCGCGGCCCGCGCTTCCCGGCGACTGGCGGCGCCGGTGCTCGTGGCTCCTCCTCCGGGCCGGGCCGGAGCCCCGCGGCGGCGGGA